CCATGTGTTTGAGGCCAGCCTGAGCTACAGTAGTGAGTTCAAGGCCAGCCTGAAACACATAGTGAAACCCTGTCTCAAAAAGAACCTGATCCATCAAAAGGGAAAGTGCTAAATAGAATATAGAATTGCATCAAAATTAAAAGTCTTCTGGGAAAGACCCTGTTAAAATGATGAAACCACAAACCACAGAGTGGGAGAAAGTATTACAAAAAGAGCATGGTGTCTGGAATATAATGGACTCTCAAAACTCAACAGTCAAAAACAACCCACTGAGAAAATGGGCATGTTGTGGATGAGTGAGTTCGGACAATAGAGATGTGCCACACTCTATGCCAGATTCAAGCCCATTTATTATAGCCGGCAGCCAAGGGGAGCTAGCACCCAGAAAGGCTCCTCGGCAGTGGGAAGCAGTTTGATTTCTCCTTTTAAATCATGCTTTCAGTTGGGGAGGGCTCAGGGGAGAGCAAGCGGAATCTTACCGAAGCAGAATCATGCCAGGTTAGTGGGGGTTACAAGGAAGTTTCACACACACTAGGTGAGCTACAAAACAACCTGAAACTGTAGCAAGTTTACTGCCAAGCAGGATGTGGGGTTTGTTCATGTGCAAGCACTTTGTTCAGGCACAGGTACAAAGTGACATTGAGGCACAAGATTGAGTTGGGTTGGTTATCACAGGCAAAAGACATGAACATTTCACCAGAGGTGGTGCAGATGGCAAACAAGTACGTGGAAAGCTGCTCCGTATTGTTAGCCACTGGGGAAGTGCGGATTAATGCTGCAGTGAGGCAGTGCTCACACCGAGCACCCCACACCGCCAGGATGCGGAGCCTCCATCTCCACACCGGTGGTGGGAAGGTGTAGGGTACTGCCGCCCTGGCAGGCAGCTTCCCGTGTGTGTTACTGGAGAGTGAGCCCAGGGAGCACTGAGCTACATCTCTAGCCCTTTTTAAATTTTGTGTGTCTTGGAACGGGGTCTTGTTAAGTTGTCTAGGCTAGCCTTAGATGTAACATTCTACCTTAGCCTCCTGAGTAGCCACTGAGACTGCACTGGGAAACAGTTTTCTTCCTCCTCATTCTCATCTTTTTCCTTCTTTTTTTTTTCTTCAGTACTGGGGAACCCAGGGCCTTCACACTGAGCTACATTCTTAAGCCCCCCACCCCTTTTTGAGACAGGGTCTCACTGAGTTGCCCAGGCTGGCCTCAAACTTGAAATTCTCCTGCCTCAGCCTCCAAGACTGCTGGGATTGAGAACACCATACCTGGCTCAATTTCTAATAAACTAAACTTGCAGCTACAATATGACCCAGGAGTTCCACTCCTAGGCACGTATCCCAGAGGAATGAAAATTTATACTCGCACAAAAACCTGTACACACATGTTCATAGAAGTTGTATCCATAACAGCCCCAAGCTGCAAACAACCCAGATGTCCTTCAGCGGGTGAATGATAGCCATACCATGGAATACTGCTCAGCAACAAGAAAAGCAATGAGGTTTTTTTTTAGGCAGCATCTCAGAAATAGTTCAGGCTGGCCTCCAACTCCCAGCGATCCTCCTGCCTCAGCCTCTTCCTGAGTGCTGGGATTACAAACCGTGCACCACCAAGCCCAGCTCTTTTGTTTTGGTGCGGGGGAGGTTCTGGGGTTTGAACCCAGGGCCTCCACACTTTTTTTTTTTGAGACAGTCTCACTAAATTGCCAGACTGGGTTTGAATTTTCAGTCCTCCTGCCTCAGCCTCCCGGAGTGCTGGAATTAAAGGCGTGTGCCACTGTACTTGGCTGGCAGTGAACTATTGATACATACATCAGTGTGGATGAAGCTTCAGAGAATGATGCTGATTACAGAAAACCAGTCCCCAAATACTATATATTGTGTGATCCCATTTGTGTAACATTCCTGGAACCCGGGGGCAATGAGGTAGAACAGTAGGAAAGCTATTTATGTAACATTCTTGAAATGACATAGCTATAGAGATAGCAGACAGATTAGTGTTTACCACAACATTAAGGAGGGTGTGGGGCCGGGTGTGGAAGTGCATGCCAGCAATCCCAGGACTCTGGGAGGCTGAGGCAGGAGGATCACAAGTTTGAGCCCAGTTTGAGCAACTTGGCAATTTAGGCCCCATCTCCAAATAGTTATTTGAAAAGGGCTGGGTATATAGCTCAGTGTGAAGGCCCTGGGTTCAGTCCCCAGGACTTCCCACTGGAGAAGGGTGTGACAGTGGCCCTACAAAGGACAGTACTGAGGTTCCCTTGTGGCAGAAGTGTTTTGTGTCTCCACTTTATCAACAGCAGTTTCCTGGTTGGGATATTATGCCATCTATTATACCATTGTTTTGCAAGATGTCACCATTGGGTAACTGACTAAAGAACACATGCCACCTCTTTCGTTTCTTAAAACTATAAGTAAATTTATAATTATCTCAAACTTTAAAAATTAATTTTACAAAATCAGCCATCAGTACTTGAATGCACATCTAATAAAATTAATTTAGGGCTGGGGATTTAGCTCAGTGGTTCCACCGCCTGCCTTGCAAGGGCTGGAGTTCAATCCCCAGTACCAAAAAAAAAGAGATGCAACTTTGAATCAAACAGCCAGAAACTAACTAAGGTCAAGTAAATGTGAAAAACTAACCAGTTTAAAATCTTAGAAGAGCTGGGGAGGTAACACACATCTGTAATCCTCAGGAGGCTGAGGCAGCAGGATCACCTTGAGTTCAAGGCCAGCCTGGGCTACATAGTGAGACTCTGTCTCAATCAGTCAATCAATCAGTCAATATCTATCATTTTAAAAGTGAGAAATAATCACTGAAGCCTGGTGCACACGCCTGTAATCCCAGCACTCTGAGAGCTGAAGCAGAAATATTGCAAGTTTGAGTCCTGCCTGGGCAATTTAGCCACCTAATGAGACCCTTTCTCAAAATGAAAAAAATATAAAAGGATGGGGTTGGGGTGTGGGTGGGGTGGGTAGCTCAGTGTGAAGGCCCTGAGTTCAGTCCCCAGTGCTGCAGTCAATCAATAAAATGTAAAAGCCCCAGGAAGGGCCAGGGATTTAGCTCAGTGGCACTGCGCCTGCCAGCCTCAAAACCACAAGGTCCTGAGTTCAATCCCTGATACCACAAAAAAATTTTTTAAATAAAATAAATAAAAGGCCCAGGGTTGTAGTGCATTGCAAAAGCCCTGGGCTCAAGCCCTAGTACAAGAAGGAGAAGGAAAACCATGAAAAAAACTTAATATAGTGCCAGGGATTTAGCTCAGTGGTTCTGCCACCTGCTTTGCAAGTGCAAGGTCCCGAGTTCAATCCCTGGTACCAAAAAAAAAAAAAAGAATGGCAAAAAAACTTAATATAGAGACAGAAAGGGAAAAGCCTTTTGAAATATGACAAAAAAACTCAAAAGCCATAAAAGATTAATAAACCAGCACTGCATCTGTCTGGCAAGCACATGATCCTGAGTTCAATTCCCAGTACCAGGAAAAAAAAAAAAGATCAATAAACCTAACAATATAAAAATAAATAATTTCTACATGTTATTAACCACCATTGACAAGTGACAAGCTGAAGGAACATACCTGATTCATATTGCAGACAAAAACCTTACTCCAGTGTATTCAGAATTACAGATAAGAAGTGAGGCAAGGTGGAGCATGTCTGTAAGCCCAGCAGTGGAGCAGTCTGGGAGGCTAAAGCAGAAGGATTGCAGTGGAATCTCGCCTGGGCAGTTTAGTGACTTAGCAAGACCTTGTGTCAATTTTTTTTTTCCAGTACTGAGGATCGAACTCAGAACCTTGAGCTTGGGATGAGGCGCAGTGCCACTGAGCTAAATCCCCAGACCCTAAACATAAGTTGGGGATGTAGCTCAGTGGGAATGCATTAGATTCAATCCCCAGCACCAAAATATTTTTTTAAGTTTCAAATTTTGAAAAAGACTAATAATTCAGCAAAAAAAAAAACAAACCAGGTTCAAAGAATACAAATAGACAATAAACTGGAAGTGTGTGTGTGTGTGTGTGTGTGTGTTACTGAGGACCTAACTCAGGGCCTTCACACTGAGCTACATTATCAGTCATTTTATTTTGAGACAGGGTCCTACTAGTTGCTAATTCCCTAGGCTGGACTTGAATTTGGTAATCCTCCTGCCTCAGCCTCCTAGAGTGCTGGGATTACAGGTGTGGACTGCCATGCCCGGCTCCCTTAGATGCTTCTGAGTAGAATTGGAAGGCTGAAAAACAGTGACACTTCATTTTATTTTAGGGTTTGTTTGGCTTATGGGGGCGGTGCTGACTTTTGGAGTATGACTATATTACCTTTCAAAAGCATTTTTTTTTTCTGGTACCAGGGATCAAACTCAGGACCTTGTACTTGCAAGGCAAGCATTTTTAAAATGAACAACATGTCAGAAATATTCATTATGATATCATTTAAGAGTGAAAATATACCAAAAAAGAAACAAAAAACCCTAAGATGTTCACCAACAGGAGAACACAAAAATTGTGATCAAATTATATTAAAGTCAGTACTTGAGCTCAGTTAAAATGAATGGATGAAGCTTTTCATGTCAGTGTGGATGAATCTCCGATTTGTACCATGAAGTGAGGAATGTAAGTTGTGCTGTATCCCATGGTCTCATCCCATGGTCTCACCCGTGTAATGTGTGAAAGCAGAGTAAATAATGCTTATCCCTGTGGCGTCTTACTCTTTAGAAAAGAAACGGACAGCAGTGCAGCACAGTCCTGAGTGCTCTGAGCTGGGTTCAGGTCCTTGGAGCTGGCGAGGTCTCCTTCTGCGGAGTTAGAGTGCTGGCAACAGCGCTGTCCTGAGCTCCTGGAGAGTCTGGGCTGCTGCCTGCTCTGCAGTCTCAGCATTCTGCAGCTGTTAGGGGGAACCAGCTGTCCCAGGGCCCGGGCGCCTCGAGCTCAGCCTGCAGAAGGCACAGTGCTGCCCAGGGGAAGACCGCTTTAGCAGGGGTTATGCTGTTCACATCTCCTTTTTCCTGTTTCCCAGGGATGCTGGTGGTGAACGTGACGTGGAGGAACAAGACCTACGTGGGTACCCTGCTCGACTGCACGCGGCATGACTGGGCTCCTCCGAGGTGAGTCTGAACCACTCTGCTAGTGAGCCCTTGTACCTTTATCCAGATGGACATGCACAGCATCTTTTAAAGGACATTATGACATAGAGACAAGAGAAGGTACTGTATTAATCTGGCATTTTAGAAAGGATAAATAAGGTGGGTGTGGCGGCACGCATCTGTAACTCTAGGACTCAAGAGGCTGAAATGGGAGGATTGCAAGTTCACCTCTCATCTAGGCAATTTAGCAAGACTGTGTTACAAACTTTCAAAAGGGTGGGGAATGTAGTTCGGTGTGAAGGCTCTGGGTTCAGTCCCCAGTACCAAAAAACAATAAATAAGTAAAATAAAGAATAAATGGTTTATGTACTCAAGTGTTGGGCAGGGGAGAAAGTAGCAGAATGAGAAGAAATCTTTTTGTTGTTGTTGTAAGCTAAAGTCTTTTATTAACTCACATAAAATTACCTGTCTTCTGGTTTGTTGAAGCAATAAGTCACAGCACTGGCCACAGCAATGTCATCAAATTGGCTGGCCACAAAATGTCCAGCGCCACACTCATCTGAAGGGCACTCCCGATGAAAATGACTGATTGTGCCATTTTCATCCACCTTACAGTATTTCAGGACAACCAACTTTGCCTTCTTTCTCTCGTGCTTATTCTTCGTGGGTGTGCATGGTGTACAACTTTCTTTTCTTTGCACCACCATAGAGACCTGCACAGGTGAAGGGTGGACGCCCTTTGAATGTTGGCATCAGACCGAGCACATCCATCTTCCAGTCACTTACCAGCAAAGATCAGCCTCTGCTGATCAGGAGGAGTTCCTTCCTTGTCCTTGATCTTGACCTTTACATTTTCTGTAATGTCTGAGGGTTCAGCCTCGAGTGTGATGGTCTTCCCCGTAAGAGTTTTTATGAAAATCTGCATCTTGGCAGAGGTTCCTCAAGTCACTGAAAAGAAAGTGGTGGGTTAGACTGTGGATAGGGAGAGCTACGGGACACAGAGAAGGCCAGAAATCCCTTTAAAGCCCATATATGGAATTATTACATTCTAGCTTCTCTTTTTTTTTTTTTTTTTTTTTTTTATTAAAAGGCTGCCTTTTATTTATTTTCTGGTACTGGGGATCGCACTCAGGACCTTGCACTTGTGAGGCAGGCGCAGTGCCACTGAGCTAATTCTAGCTTCTCTTGTAGTCACCTGGAAACCAAGGCCATAAAGTCCAAGCTAACAAATATTTATTGATAATGCTTTGTAATGATAGCTGTTTTTAAGAAACTTAAACTGAAGAACATTTTCAGTTTTATAAATGCTATGAGCACTTATTGGCTTCACAGAATATTTTCAAATTGTAATTTGACTGTGAGAGTAACATTTCAGGGCTGGGGTGTAGCTCAGTGGTGAATCACTGGCTGACATCCATGATGCCTTGGGTTCAATGCCCAGTACCACAAAAACAATTTTTTTTTAATTAAAAGGAAAGATTAACCTTTCAGTGAGTGGTATCTTACAGTTTGTTCCTAAAATTAGGACCTAGTTTGCCAGAGATGTGAGGAACCCAAATGTCAAGGAGTCCTTTACAGTCAGCATGCAGACTGCACCTTCAGTGTTCCAGAGTTCCCATTATAATGCAATTCCCACACACTGACATGTCCCCTAACAGTCACACACATTGCAAGTGGTGGTCACTTCCCAGCACCCTACAGGCTTAGGCAAGGGGATCCCGAAGCCAGCGTGGACTACAGAGACCCTGTTGCCAAGGCAAGCACAGTGATGCTCTTTTAATCCCAGCTACTCTAGAGGCTGAGTTCAAGGCCAGCCTGGGTGACACAGTAAGATCCTCACCTCGAAGAAGAAAAGAAAAGGAAGGAGGGAGGGACGGAAGGAAGGAAGGAAGGAGTGATGTTGCATACCTGCAATCACAGCACTGTGGGAGGCTGAGGCAGGAGGATTGCAAGTCTGAGTGCAGCCTGGGCAATTTAGTGATTGCTTTTTTTCTCCTATCCCTGTGGCTCCCAGAGTCTTACAAACAACCTGTTGCATATTCCGCCTGGGGCAAAAGTCAAAGCCAGATCTAAACAGGAACTAACCTTAGCTAAGGATTTAATTTAAGACAGTGTTTTGGCCTCCATAAAAAGCAACTTTACGGTCAGAAATATCTCCTAGGTGCAAATCTCCAGACACTGAAATAATGCATGTCCTATGATGGCCAAATCTGATGTCTGTGGTGGATTTCAGGGCCTCCTAAATGGGTATGTACTTTTCTTACTTGTGTGTACCTTTGTGGTAAGGTGCTTAGAAAAAAGCATTGGGGGGCTGGGGATTTAGCTCAGCGGTTCTGCTGCCTGCCCTGAAAGCGCAAGGACCTGAGTTCGATCCCCAGTACCAAAAAAAAAAGAAAAAGAAAAAAAGCACTGGGCTGAAACCAGAGGTGGATTCTGGTTATGGTGACTGTCGGCAGATCAGAGCCTGGCCTCAGTGTCCATGTGAGGTTTAAAGTCCTATCTGAAACCATGATTCTGGCCACATCACTGCCTTTGCCTGATGGAACAAACTGCAGGGCTCTAGAGAGGAAAGTTGGGAAGAATTTACCACAGGCATACAGGTAGCCACTTAGGAGCTCTTCAGTAATACAGTCTCACACAATTGAAAGTTCTTACATCAAACTGTGTTTATTGAAAATGATAGTCATCATCCAAAAGGTTCTTCAGAGGCTTCAGCTAAACTGGTTTAAAGATATTTTTTCAAAACAGGCCATGGTAGCACACACCTGTAATCCCAGCACTGGGGAGTCAGAGACAGGAAGATTAGGAATTTAACGCCAGCCTGGGCTACATAGTGAGTTCAAAGCCAGCCTGAACTATATAGCAAGATCCTGTCTCAAAAAAGAAAGAAAGAATTGGGGAGATGAGGGTGGGGTAAGAAGGATCAAGATATCAAGATGCCCTATGTATATGTACAGTTTCCCCATGATGAATATATTTACTATGTATCACAGACATATTAATAAAAAAATTCAGAGCGGGGGAGAAGAAAGAAGCCAGGCTGGGTGACTCATGCCTATTAAAAAAGGAAAGAAGGGAGGTAGGGGAGAAAGGAGGGCTGGCTGGGGATATTGCTCAGTGTGAAGGCCTCAAACTTGTGATGCTCCTGCCTCAGCCTCCCCAGTAGCTGGAATTACAGGTGTGAGCCACCAGGCCCAGGTGTTTCTCGTCTTATTAATATCCCATTCTGTTTGTCCTTTGCCAAGGTTCTGTGACTCCCCCACCAGTGATTTGGAAATGCGCAATGGTCGCGGCAGAGGCAAACGCATGCGTCCCAACAGTAACACACCTGTCAACGAGACGGCCACAGCCTCTGACAGCAAAGGGACCAGCAGCAGCAGCAAAACTCGAGCAGGAACCAATAGCAAAGGCCGTCGGGGCAGCCAGAACTCTTCAGAGCATCGCCCACCTGCCAGCGGCTCCTCCGAGGACGTCAAGGCCAGCCCTTCCTCCACCAGTAAACGGAAAAACAAGCCCCTGTCAGACATGGAGCTGAATTCCAGCTCGGAGGACTCCAAGGGGAGCAAGCGAGTCCGGACAAACTCCATGGGCTCAGCCACAGGCCCCCTCCCTGGGACGAAGGTAGAACTCACCGTCCTGGACAGAAACTGCCCTTCCCCAGTCCTGATTGACTGTCCCCACCCAAACTGCAACAAGAAGTACAAGCACATCAACGGACTCAAGTACCACCAAGCCCACGCCCACACGGACGATGACAGCAAGCCAGAAGCAGATGGGGACAGTGAGTACGGAGAGGAGCCCGCCCTCCATGCAGACCTTGCGAGCTGCAATGGTGCGTCCATCTCCCAGAAGGGCTCCTTGTCCCCTGCCCGCTCAGCGACCCCCAAAGTTCGGCTCATAGAGCCCCACAGCCCTTCTCCTTCAAGCAAATTCAGCGCAAAAGGCCTCTGTAAGAAAAAGCTGAGTGGGGAAGGGGACACAGACCTTGGGGCCTTATCCAATGACGGCTCTGACGATGGACCCTCAGTAATGGACGAAACGAGTAATGATGCCTTTGACTCTTTGGAAAGAAAGTGTATGGAAAAAGAAAAATGTAAAAAACCGTCTAGTTTGAAACCTGAAAAGATTCCTTCCAAGAGCTTGAAGTCAGCCCGGCCCATTGCGCCTGCCATCCCCCCGCAGCAGATCTACACCTTCCAGACGGCCACGTTCACGGCAGGGAGCCCGGGCTCTTCCTCGGGCCTGACCACCACGGTGGTGCAGGCCATGCCCAACAGCCCCCAGCTCAAGCCCATCCAGCCCAAGCCCACCGTGATGGGGGAGCCCTTCACCGTCAACCCTGCCTTGACACCCGCCAAGGACAAGAAGAAGAAGGACAAAAAAAAGAAGGAGTCCTGCAAGGAGCTGGAAAGTCCTCTGACTCCTGGGAAGGTCTGTCGAGCAGAAGAAGGAAAAAGCCCCTTCAGGGAGTCATCAGGAGATGGGGTGAAGATGGAGGGGCTCCTGAATGGCTCCTCTGACCCCCACCAGAGCCGCCTGGCAAGCATCAAGGCAGAGGCGGACAAGATCTACAGCTTCACAGACAATGCCCCCAGCCCTTCCATCGGAAGCGGCAGCCGCCTGGACAGCACACCCCCAACGCAGCCCCTGACGCCCTTACACGTGGTGACGCAGAACGGAGCGGAAGCAAGCTCGGTGAAGACCAACAGCCCTGCCTACTCGGACATCTCCGACGCGGGGGAGGACGGGGAGGGCAAGGTGGACAGCCTCAAGTCCAAGGACCCGGAGCAACTGGGGAAGGAAGGGGCTAAGAAGACGCTCTTTGCCCCTCAGCCGCAAAGCAAAGACTCACCATACTACCAAGGCTTTGAGAGCTACTACTCTCCAAGTTATGCCCAGTCCAGCCCCGGGACCCTGAACCCTGGCAGCCAGGTGGGCGTGGAGAGCCAGGCCTTGAAGCCAAAAAAGGAGGAGGAGCCTGAGAGCCTGGAGGGCAAAGGAAAGAGCGACCTCTGTGAGGAAAAGAAGCCGGAACTGAGCAGCTCCAGCCAGCAGCCTTCCGTCATCCAGCAGCGCCCCAACATGTACATGCAGTCGCTGTACTACAACCAGTACGCCTACGTGCCGCCCTATGGCTACGGCGACCAGGGCTACCATGCGCACTTGCTGAGCACCAATGCGGCCTACCGACAGCAGTACGAGGAACAGCAGAAGCGCCAGGGCCTGGAGCCACCTCGGGGCCCCGACAAGAAGGCCGAGCTGGGCCTCAAGGACCGAGAGGCCGCGCTCAAGGAGGAATGGAAGCAGAAGCCTTCTATCCCGCCGACCCTCACCAAGGCCCCCAGCCTCACGGACCTGGTGAAGTCGGGGCCGGGCAAGGCCAAGGAGCTGGGGGCTGACCCTGCCAAGTCAGTCATTATTCCCAAGCTGGACGATGCCTCCAAACTTCCCAGCCACACCCCTGAGGGCCTGAAGGTGAAGCTGAGCGAGGCCAGCCACCTGGGCAAGGAGGCCTCCGAGGGCAAGATGGGAACTGAGTGTGGCCGCCAGGCAGAGGTGGATCCGATTCTCTGGTACCGGCAGGTAACTGTTGGCCGGGGGGAGGAAGTGCAAATGCTGTGTGGGAAACTCTCCCTCACACATCAGGAGACTTATATACTGTCAGAGCTGCTTTACCTTTGTAAACCGTTTTCGTATTTGGGGGTTTTCTGTTTAACTTGGTTTAGTTTCTATGGTTCTTTGAGAGAGTGTCTCACTGTGCAATCCAGGCTGGCCTCAAACTTACACACTCCCTGCTTCTGCCTCCTGAGTGCTAGGCAGCACCACCACCCTCACCATCATTTTAATGTTTTTAAAAAATTACTTTCAGGGCCGGAGATTTAGCTCAGTGGTTTCACCACCTGCTGAGCAAGTGCAAGGACCCAAGTTCGATCCCCAGTACCAAAAAAAAAAAAAAATCACTTTCAGCTCCATAAAAAGGTATTTTTCCATTTGACAAGAAAGACCCAGGTAAGTTAGCTTACTTTGTCTAGGGTTACTTGAACCTTCACTACCAGAGCCAGGACTAGAACCCAGGAATCTTGATTCCTAATCCAGTGTCCCGTCTACTTCTTTGTTTTCTACAAAATGAGTTAACAGTGGTCACTCCGTTTCTTTAGAGTAGGTCAGAAATATACTACTCAGTTACTAAATTACTTTAAAAGGGATTTTATAAACTGAGCATGGTGGCACTTGCCTACAATCTCAGTACTCTGGGAGGCTGAGCCAGGAGGATCTCAAATTCAGTCTCAGCCTGAGCAATTTGGTGACTTGGTGAGACCTTGTTTCAAAATGAAAAATAAAGCTGGGCATAGCACTCCTATGATCCCAGCATTCTGGAGGCTGCGGCAGGAGGACCTCAAGTTCAAACCCAGCCTGAGCAGTTTAGCAAAACTCAGTCTCAAAATAAAATTGAAGGGCCAGGGATGTAGCTCAGTGACACAGTGGTTGCCTGGCAAGTGCAGGGTCTTGAGTTCGATCCCCAGTACTGAAAAAAATAAAGTAAAATAAAATAGAAAAAGGGTTAGGGATGAAGCTCAGTGCAAAGGTCTTGGTTCAATCTTCTGTACTAATAAATAAGCAAATAAATTAAGGACTGGGAATGTAACTCAGTCAAAGGCCCTGGATTCAACTCCCAGTAACACCAAAAAAAAAAAAAAAAAATTGTGGAGTCTTAGAATGTTTTCCCTTCCCTCTTGGTGTTAGTTGCTCCCCACCCCTCTGATCCATGTGGCAACAATTGCTCCCTATCCCAAGCTTGTTCTGAAGAAGTGAAACCACCTACCCCTCTTGGACAGAGGCAGCCCCTTTTATTCCAGCAGTCCTGCCTCAGAGTGCTCATTCTTGCCTGGAGAACACCTGCTGATGCATTTGCTTTTTCTTTGTTTCCTTCGGAAGGAAAACTTTAAGCAAGAGACTAGAGTTGGGTTGTAAGGTGTTTCTACCAGGACCTCAGGCTTGAGACTTCTGTCTGTCTTAGGTGTGCATACTCATCCTCATTCTGTGGCTGTTGTAGGAGGCAGAGCCCCGGATGTGGACATACGTGTATCCTGCCAAGTACTCAGACATCAAGTCAGAGGATGAACGGTGGAAAGAGGAGCGAGACCGAAAATTGAAGGAGGAAAGGAGTCGGAGTAAGGACTCTGTCTCCAAGGAGGATGGGAAGGAAAGCACAAGTAGTGACTGCAAGCTGCCCACATCTGAGGAGTCCCGCCTTGGGAGCAAGGAGCCCCGACCAAGTGTCCATGTGCCTGTGTCCTCCCCCCTCACCCAGCACCAGTCCTACATCCCCTACATGCATGGCTACTCCTACAGCCAGTCCTACGACCCCAACCACCCCAGCTACCGGGGCATGCCTGCTGTGATGATGCAGAACTACCCAGGTACAGCACCAAGACGGGGACGAGCAGACTTCCACTCTGGGTTTTGTTGCACAGCCCCAGGGCTCAATGCAGGATGACAGCACTTTTTTGATTCCTTCATTTCATAAAGCGGCCAGTCAGTCTAACCTGTAGCTTCTTACGTGACCCCTGGTTATGTGAGGGACCAGCTCTCCCTCCCTTGCTCCAGCTGCAGGGTTGCCTCTACTGAGCATGCTCAGCTGTGAGGCCCAGGGCGGGTGGGCAGCAAGATGGAAATAGCAGCTTGAAGTCAGGTACGGTTAGCTCTTCATACCACTGTCAGTGAGTTCTTCTGGAGGGAATACAAAGTTGGGGTTTAAATGCTTTTTAACTTGTTAGAGGAGTATACTCGCTCTTTACTCACTGAATTCTGTTGCCTAACGAGCCATATGGGATTTTTCTGGGATGGGAGGGCACCTCTATTTTATCATTTATTATTTTGATTAACCTACTAATTGTAATATCAATGAGATTGAATGTGGTATTTCAGTACATGCATACAGAGTACACTGATCCTGTTGGGGTGATTAGCATTTCCCTTTTGTGAGCACCTCTCTTCCAGATCTTTATAAAATATATAACAGCCTGTTGTGAACTCTACGCACCCCTCCGTCTACAGAATGCCATCCACCTGTTGGGGTGCCTATTACTCAGCTTCGCTTTGTCCATCCCCCACCCCCACCCCACCAGCCTTCCCAGCTGATTCTACATTCAGATCAACCTGGGCACTTCTTGCATCTTAAAACTTTCCAACTTCACACAGCTTAAATAGCTTGACATTCTGGTGACACTGTTGGAAGAAAAACTCTAAATAGCACAAGAAATCTTTTCACAATCATCTCACCCTTGAGGTGTTCCTTATTCCCTATCACTACATCCGTCTCTATTCAAACAATATTTCCATTTGCTGAGGGCTTGCTGTGGTCCAGGCACTGTCCTGGCTGATTTTTGTACATTATCTTTTTTAATACTCATTACTCTATGAAATAGAGTATCGGGATCTTTGTTTTGATAATGAAGAACCTGAAACACAGAAGGGTGGTTAGTTTGCTCAAGGTTACTAGCTAGCAAGTCGCAGAAGTATGGTTGAGCCCATGTCCCTCTGACTGTAAATTCTGTGATCTTCCTATTATATCATAACACTGCTCCAAGACAAATCGGAGACTGCAGTATTGAGAACACCACAGTGGAGCTGGGGAAGACAGCTGCAAGAAACTTTCTTAGTCCCTTTGCTCATCTCCCCTGTAGAGTTGCGTAAAGAAAGGAGATGCCAGTAGTCTCACCCCAACGACACTGGCAGAAAATAACTCAGCCTGTGCCTAGGCGAGCCTATGCCCCCTGACCACCCTAAAGTGCAGATTCCCCTACCTCTTGTCTCTCTGACTGCTTTATTTCTCTCTCCCTAGGTTCCTACTTGCCTTCCAGCTACTCTTTCTCCCCATATGGCAGCAAGGTCTCAGGTGGTGAAGATGCCGAGAAGGCACGAGCCAGCCCCAGTGTCAGTTGTAAATCCAGCTCAGAGTCCAAAGCCCTGGACATCTTGCAGCAGCACGCTAGCCACTACAAGAGCAAGTCACCCACGGTAAGGGAAACAGAGAGGACCCTCTTTGTTCCCCAGAGACGAGACAAGGTTACATCTGGGGTCTTGGAGAAAGTGGGCCAGTTCAGGTCCTGACCACAGTGCAGCTCAGCTGATTTCACATCAGCCCCCAGGCCTCCCTCATGTGTGTCACCACAGTGCTTCTGTGTGTCTCCTTTCCAGATAAGCGATAAAACTTCTCAGGAGCGAGATCGGGGAGGCTGTGGGGTGGTGGGAGGTGGCAGCAGTTGCAGCAGTGTCGGGGGAGCAGGAGGAGCTGAACGGAGTGTTGACCGACCTCGAACCTCCCCTTCCCAGCGCCTGATGTCCACACACCACCACCACCATCATTTGGGGTACTCGCTGCTCCCCACACAGTACAACCTACCCTATGCAGCAGGTAAGCCTCTCGTCCCTGCCATCCATTTTTCTTGGTCTCCTATCTTTTTTTCCTAAGCTTCTGATCTATCCAAAGTCCTAGCCTCCTGCAGATAGTCATTCAAGCATATGACATTTATTTCCTCCCTTGGAGTTTTAGGACTCTCAAACTCCTCCAGAATCTTGGCTTTGATACTCAAAGAATAAGAATCAGGTGTTTCCAAAGCGAAAGAGAAACAAGCAGCTGAGTAGCAGAGCCACACTATCTGTCCCCGGCCACCAAGTAGTAGATCTACTTGTCTGGCCAAGAAGTAGATCTGTTTCTTTTGTCAGCACCTCAGAACTCCATAGAGCTAGGAATTTAAGTGGAAACTGCTCCCCACACCCAGCCAGCTGGAGAAAGGGGAATATGAAGGGGAGGTTTCTAGCAGGCATGGTGGTACAGACCTATTAAATCTCAGCCGCTTGGGAGGGTGAAGCAGGATTGCAGATTCACAGCCAGCCTGGGCAACTTAGGGAGGAGGCCCTGTCCAAAAATTTAAAAATAAAAAGGGCTGGGAATGTAGCTCAGTAGTATAGCACTTAACTAGCATGCATGAGACCCCAGTTTCAGGCCACCACTGGTTTAAAAAAAAAAAGCGGGGGAAGTTTCTGGTTTGCTTGGGTTTGATTGTGGTCTGTTTTTGTAAGCACCGCACTAACCTGTCCTCCTGCCTGCTCAGGGCTTTCTTCTACAGCCATTGTTGCCAGCCAGCAAGGCTCAACTCCCTCACTCTACCCACCCCCCAGGAGGTGAGAATGGTGAGTGACTTTTGCTTATTTGGGGCCATAGAGTAGGGCCAGCTGCAGCCTGGTCACAGGATCCCCTTGGGGCCTAGGTGAGGGACAGTGTTGGGTCAGCTGTCTAGGAAGGTGGAACCCTGGCCTGCCTCTCCTATGAAGCTGTGCACATCTGAGAGGACCTGTGGCACAGATATGTCCCCTAGGGACAGTTCTGGTCTTCCCTGAGGTTCGTTTTCTTGGAGCGCCATCTTGTGGTTATCATGCCAGCGGGCTGAGCGCCTGGTTACCTGTCCATGTTTCCCTTGCAGAACAAGTGCCCGGATAAAGTCAGCTTCACGGGCTCGGACTGCCTCACCCAGGGAGGTGCTGGAGGTGCCATTTAGACCTCAGTTAAATGGTGTTGGTCATCCTGTTTGCCGTTCCAACCATGACTGAAGGCAGACCCGTGGCTGTCACCTCCTCCAGACCCCGGACTCCCTGACCCTCCCTCAGGAGCTGGAGAGCTGGTACTTAGCAAAACTATTTATTCTCCGCCACAACCATGACTGCTGTGGCCTCTCTGGAGATAAAGGCACTGGGAGCAACCAGGGGAACATGGCCTCAGCCCAGAGAAGTCACTGCCCTGTTCCCCAGGCCCCTGTTCTGCTGCCTGCAGAGTACCAACCAACCCCCTGCAGGGAGGGACTCCCAGGCACTGGGTAAGGTCTGAAGACAGCACAGCAGCCATCCCCTCACCGCCATTCCGTCACCAGACCCCACACCTCCCCAGCGGTTTGGGCCCTGGGAACTGGCAGCATGTGGAGGAATTAGAATCTCAGGAAAGAAATTGGGGGCTGTTTTCTCTGTAGTTGGGAAAACAAGGTCTTCAAACATGGAGACTTCCCCCCTACACACATGAGCACAGATAAATGCTCAGCACCCAGCCTGGAGAGGGAGATCAAGGCACTCGCCCCACAGGGCTTTGAGCTACTGGGCAGGCAGAGGCAGGGGTTCCAACACCAGCACAGGGCTCCCCAGTGTCTGGGGAGGGAGCTGGAGCACGAACGGAATCTGCGAAATTGAACCTGCATCCCCACAAAGTCCTGCTGCTGCTTATCTCCCCACTCTTTGTCCTTTTCTCTTCCATCCTAACCCCTTGGTGCCTTTCCCAGGGGATCCCCACACTGAATTCACCTTCTTTTCCACTGCTTGGCTCTTAAGATTCAGGCAGATAAAACAGTATTCCCCCAGAATGGGGACCCAAGGAAGTCTCCCAGGTCACCCGGAGGGCAAAGCCCAGCAGGCAGGCCTGGAGCACCCAGCAGTTCTTGGAGATGTCCCATGTTCAGCCATCCAAGTATCTTCCTTAGCTAGGGCCACAAAAGGACACAACCCAGTTCTTCTGTCTACAAGTACATGGTTTTATATAGCTCAGTCTATACTTTCAGTGTGTGCCAACATAAGCTGTGTGACTTTGTAACACACATTGTTTTTTTAGCAGCCACTGGCTCTGGGAAGTCATTTGTTCCTCGGACCCTAAGATGACACACCTAAGCATTACTAATGGAGCCAGAGTGACTTGGGCTGTGCTTGGAGGCGCCAGACAGTTCTCTGCTCTCCTTAGAAAACAGTCTCTCTGGGTCAGAGCTTTATGCTCTTGCACTGAGAAAGTGATGATGATTTGGTAGCTTTATTTGGTAGCTCCCCAAGATGTGGGGAGCTTTCGCTTTTTGCTTTTGTGAGCTATCATCCCTTTGTTCTCCCCTCCTGTCTTTCCTTGGCCCTCCAGATAGAAAGACCAACAGACACCAGCCTAGGCTAAAGAAGGGTGCTTTGCAGCCAGAGTGCAAGAAGAGAGCTGAAGAGCAGGAAAGTGGCTCTAACTTAATCTGAGAATGGAGAGGTGGGGCCAGTAAGCACAATTCCCAGAGAGGGTAGTTTCCAAGAACTGGAGCTCCTCTGTAACCCACAGACCTTCCTCTAGGTTTCCATGTCTTTGTTTTATTTAAAGTTGGGTCCCGAGGGCCCCCCCCCCAACCATTTTATGCCTGTTTTCAGGGCCCCAGACAGCCTCCCTGAGCCCTCATTCCCTCTGCTGCCCCGGCAGGCAGTGCCCTGAGCAGTCACCTCCCTTCCATTCATGGAAGTTGCTGGCGTGGACACCTTCACCCACCTGACCTGGGCCACCTTCCCAAGAGGGTGACCAAATTTCAGCCTGATTTTGCACTCCAGGCTCCTGTGGGGTGGACCCATGCGCCCATCTCTATTCCTGTTTATTTTTTACTGTGTTTTGTATCTGTGCCACTGGCCTGTAGCGTGCTCTGTACATAGTGTAAAGAAACCGCTGGAGCAATTTCCTTACTCATCCACGTTCCTGCCCTTTCCACTTTATTTTGTAACATAGAGGAGGAACTTCTGTATTCACAGGGCAGCTTTAGGTTCTGCAGAAGGAAACAGCTGATTTTTTTTATTTTTCCCTTTAAAAAACATAGCGGTCTCCCTTAAAGAGTAGGAGCTGCCCACACACACACCAGTAACAGGCAGTAGCTGTGACGATCCTTGCCCTGTGCCAAGCAAGGACAGAGTTCTCTGTCCACCTCCAGCCTCTCTCCCTGAAAGGAACATCATCTGTGACATACTCAGAGGGAGAAGACACAGCGAGGAGCCCCATGCCACACACAAAAGCTGGGCAGGGTTGCTGCCAGGGACCTAGGCACCAGACCAAGCCTCTCTCAGCCACCCCTGCCAGGCCCTCCCAGGAAGGACAACAGGCTGAGAGCTGCTCTAGGGTCCATACCTGCTTCTTCCTATTTAAGGCGTGCCAGTTCCCATTACCCCTTGCCCTACCTTATACATGTATGTGTACATGTATGATGTTTCCTGCTCTTACCCACTCTCCATACATCTCAAGGTCAAAGGACTACACACACAAGGCCAAGAGGGCACCCTGCGAAATGAAGTGGTCCTTTTCTTGAATCTCCTCTCCAGGCTCCAGGGCCGGGGTGGGACTTAGCTTCAGGAGTTGGGAGTGAAGACTGCAGAAGGGCTGGAGGACTGGATATAGGCTTTGAGGCCCCCTCACCTCTCTTGCTACCCACACATACCCTGTCACTATCCCAATGTCTACTCTGATGCCCCCAAGATTCAACTGGGCAGCTAGCTGGCCCCATAATTCTGGGCCTCTGTCATTTGTTTTATTGCTAGGGCATCCCAGGAAGCTTTCCAGTGATCCCAATGTGGGCCCCTCCTGGGACCAAGCCCCTCCCAGCCCTGTCCCCTCCCCTCCTGCCCCAGCCCGCCCGCTTGCCTTGGTGCTCAGCCCTCCCCTTGGGAGCAGGTTGGGGCAAGCTAGAAGCCCGGGCTGGAGGGGCACGTTGCTGTTCAGATTTTGTTCCATTGGCGTTGCTCTGTTGGGTTTAATTTCAGTCTTCCTGATTCTTCCCTTCTGTAAAGTGTACATTACCAAGTTCTTTGTTTTTTTTTTTTATATATATATATAAATATATATATATATATATACAAACTGTACTCTTTTTGCCTTTGTACATTCTGGCAAGAAGAGAAAATAAATCTTTTTAAGAGACAATCACAAATCTGTGAGGGCTGCTGGTTATTTCTCCTGAAGTTTGCTGCTGAGCTGCCTCCTGCCTTCCCCCAACTTTTCTCTCTTCCCTCAACTTTCCTCTCTTCCTGATCCTGCTCCATATGCATCCTCAGCTTCATTCTCCTTGGCTGATGGCAAACTGTTGAATCCAGTGTCTAGACTGCCTGCCCTGTCCCCCTTTCCCGCCCAGCACTGTTTTCTGACCTGGCCAATGGGTTAGCCTGGGAGCTTTATCCTGTGCCCTGGCCCTCCCTTCACCCCTAGATCCCACTCACCAAAGTGGCTTTGGACACTCAACCTGTAAAACTATGCAGCTTGGAGCTCTCTGCCTGAGAGTTTGCACTATTTAAACCTGCATGGGACTCAGGATGGATGGTTGTCAGGAATGTGGGTAAACCACCCCCAACACCCTCCCCTCCCCAACCATTCCAGCTTCCGAGTGCTCTGAACCAGCGACCAGAGGATCATTCCTGTCAGGTGGACTCCTGTGGTCTACCCATCTGAACAAGGGCTAACGGTTTATGGGTTAAGAGCATTTTATCAGACTTTCAAAGGATGGTACCTTCTGAAGCAGCCCAACCAAACCATTGTTCAGCCCCTTTCTCCTTTCCACTACTTTCCTCCTACCCCTTTTTTCCCTTTGTCTCTACTCCCTTTTCTTAATTGGCTTTGGAATTGAAGTATATTTTTAAATTATTTGTTGTATTTATTGAATAAAGTTTTTAATGTCCCTGTTCTTAAATTTAGACTTAGTTTGCCTTGCACATATCTCCCTCCTCCTGTCCACCACTCCCTCCTAAGTTGCTTGTTAAACTAAAGCACAGCCTTTGGATATGATATTTCCTGCCAGTCATCTTCACTAACTAGTTTTTTCTTGAAAGGCAAATCTCGACTGGACAACTGGGTTTCTGATCCAGTGCTTCTAACTCTGGTCATATTAGGAAAAATAGATGACAGCTGCCTCTCAAGCATGTTCCCATCCATTCTGCCCGCTTTGGGGTAAAAGCTAAAGGGTTGAGTTGTGGTTCTTCCCCCCCCCCCCCCCCCTCCACTGGGGATCAAACCCAGGGGTGTCTACCACTGAACTACATCCATCGCCCTTTTTTATTTTTTGAGACTGGGTCTTGCTAAGTTGAACTTGCAGTCCTCTTGCCTCACCTTCCCAGTGCTGGGATTTCTCTTATTTTTAATTCCTGTCTATATGTAGGTTCATTAGGCTTAACATATGAATTTGAAACTGCCTTCTCCCTTTATGCTCCCTCTAGGAGTCATTTGTTCACTGGGGAAAATCTTCAAGTCATACTCATTTCAGCTGAATGTGTCTAGTCCCAGACTTACTCTAATAATACTTGTGGGGAGTAGAAGTGTTGAGTTCACTTCTTTTAAGGAACAGCAGGTGGAGCCCAAGGTTAATGAGTAGGTCCACAGTAAAACACAGGAGCAAGCCATGAAAAATAGTATGAAAATGGCCCAAAGACCCATAGGGAAACTAAGGGTCACAGTTGCAAAGCTGTAGGAGGTGGAAAACCATGCCCTTCTTGGGGGGGAAAAAAAAGACCAAAAGAAAAAAAGGCTAGTTCCTGAGAATTTAAAAAGGGAACAGAGGTAAAGGAGCTTCTATCCTCCTACAGTGCCACCTTCAGGCTGGTGGCACAAGTTTAGACATTCTAAAAAGGTTCCCAAAGGAGAAAACTAAAATATAAAGGTATGTGCTGTCTCCTTCAAAGACCTCAACCTATGATGAATGTTATCTTTACGTATATCTAAGGGTGGGGATGTAGCTCAGTGGCGCTGCACCTGCCTGGCAAGCACAGGGTCCTGAGTTCAATCCCCGGTACCACCAAAAGAAAATGTATATCTAAAATGTATATCTAAAATGTACCAATAAATGTTTTGCTAAAAAAAATACATCAGGAATGAAAATGTCAGCCAGCTCCATACAAACCCAAAACCCAGTTATAGGAACCAGCCTTCCTACTGGGCCTCTGTTGTGGATGCAGCTGATGTGTACACACCTGTCTCTCCAGGGGACTCCTCCAGCACATCCCAGACTCCTAGCAACTCCACACTTCACAGTGTAATGTGGCCCCAGAGACTTTGCCAGCTTATTTGCCCTATGACATTGCAGCTTTTTCCAAGAAGCATGTAAGTTTGGCTCTGGACTCAAAAGATAGTGGTAAGAAGTTGGTCCTGGTACAGGAAAAAAGAACAGACCAAGCACAACTTTAAATCAGTTTATTGACACAGTAACACAACACACTTGCCTCCCTGACACCCCCACTCCCCTCACCCAGTTGTGATCTCTTCCCCCTTCCTCTCCCCTTAGAACAAGCTATTCAGTGGAAACAGAGGGGCAAGCCACCACCACATCCAGGCCTATCCCTTGGCCCTGCAGAGCAGTGTCTCAGGCACTGCTCAGAACCTGCTGGGGAAGGCAGGCAGCACTGTGCTCAGCCAGTCAGAGCCATCCCATCCCTAAGAACAGATTTCCCCACAGTTCCCAGGCCCTGAGTTGCTATTTTTCCTCTCTTCATGACCCTAGGAAGGAGACCTTGGGACCTGGGCCACAGGAGAAAACTCCTGGCGGTAACTTGAGACTTGGAGTTTGGCTAGTGTTTAAGGTCCAGGTACCCCCGAAAAAGCCCTAGTGGTGGGAGTGAACTTCAATGCCTCTATTTAAAATGCACTGATAACATTAAACAGATTAAGCCAGCTTAACCAAATGCCAGAATAACACTAAGCTGTAAAGAAGAAAGGGTCGGTCACGACCTGCTTACACCAGGCCAGACAACAAACGCACACGCACACAGAAAAGCCAAAGTGAAGTGTCAGAAACAACCCAAGGACACTGCCCAGGAGCCAAAAGCTTATACTCAAAGATTGAGTCCCTGGGGAGAAGCAAAGAAATAAAATACGTAAGTCTTAAAAACTGAAACAGAAAGCCCAACGGCAAGGGAACTAGAGCCTAACAGTGCTGCCCACCAGCCCTCCAGGCCTCACCCCTGGACCCAGATACTCCCTCCCCTTCTAGGCAATGCCCTCCCCTAGGCTAGATAGAGCACATCACACAGCGCAGTTTAAAAAGCTTCTAATGCCAGCTCATAAACATCTTCATTTACTACTGGTGATTACATGTGAATAATATGTTTATACTGTTCTTTATGGAAAACAATTTCAACAAGTCAACTCCAAGAACACAGTAGGCAACCCTCACCCTGAGCCCTTCAGCATCCTTCCCTAGACAGGGAGGAGCCCTCTCCTGTGTCCCAGGGCTGCCTAAATTCCCCTCTTCCCCTACAGTGACTCTTGGGCAAAGCATCCTCTATGACCATTAGTCCTCATCGGACAAGTTCTGGTCCAGGGGGTAAACCATGAACATCACATCTGGCCGAGAGGGGACACAGGGATGACCTGGACGTACAATCTCAAAGCCCAAGAAGCTGAAGGTCCTCAGGAGTGGAGCTGTAAGAGATAGAGCATAAAAAGGATTCTGATGAAAGTACAAGTTAAGCCTTAATGTAAGGGAACACCCCAAAGAGATGAACAAACAAGCACTAGCCAGTGGTGGGACCTATGGCACGCATGTTGTTTTTCTTTGAATACAAAACATGTTAATGTATGAGTTCTTTCTAAACTAAAACCTCAGTATTCAGCTTTAATTGCAGTGCTGGCATTTTGCAATAAATAAGTGGGTTTTGGGTTGCAGTTTGGGCACTCGTCTTTGTAAGGTTCACCATCACTGCACCAGGCCTTTGCCAACCCTTGGAGGCACCTCCCACAAGCCCTGACTTCCAGGGTTCATAAGGCAGAATCAAGGGTCCCCGACTGTATGAAAGGCCTCAGCTTCTGTCCCAGACCACACTGTCTGGGCTGAAAGTCTCAGAATGCTGTAGTTCCTCACCTCTGTCTTCCCGGCCCTTCCTGAAGCAGATGAAGACGTAGTTCACTTTCATCTTCTCTTCAGCAAACTCTAGCAGCGCTAACAATCTGCAGGAAGCAAGGAACTAGTCAGGCCCACCACAACCTCCCCAGACCTCCCTTGTAATGACCTCACTCCCCAAAATATGAGGCTTTCCGGAGCCTAACAGGCGTATAATATAGAAGCTCCAGGGAGAAAGTTCTCATTTCAGTGATCTATGATCCCTGAGTTCAGAGATAAGCCATGGTCCCTGAGAAAAATGTGACTGAATTCTCTATTTCTTCATCTCAAAGTAACACTAAAAGCTTAGAACTAACGAGACAAGGTTTGGGATCTAGAGAGAAGCCAGTTCTTCAGGGATCACTGCCACTGAGAGGGACACTTGGAGCCCTGACACTGCCTAAATAGTTTCCTTTCCTTAAGAGGTGGGGGCAGGCAGAGAACTCGGGCTGCATAGAGGGTCCTGCCCAATCCAGTTATATCCCACTGTGTCTGAGCTTCCTGGCCACTGTAGGATGGGTCAAGGGGAACCTGCTGTCTGCCAGGAAGTGTGAACTATGGGGCTATTAATTGGTAGGCATTTGATGAATGTGATAATGATCTACTTTAATAATTATAACCTAGAGCAGGCCTGTTTTACTGCCTAAAAATAACCTGTTACAAAATGATGTGATGCCAGGGGTTTGGCTCAGTGGTTCTGCCGCCTGCCTTGAAGGCCCAGTGGTTCCAGCGCCTGCCTTGCAAGCACAGGGTCCTGAGTTCGATCCCTGGTACCCCCCAAAAAATGGTATGTGCTTAGGAAAACCAGAGCTAGGGGAGAATACAAAGACTTCTACAAATCTTTTATCCCCCCAAAACATACACCCTTCTCTTCAAGGGGGCCTCCTTACCCTTCTTTGCTCCCATCAGCTAATAATCCATCTGGGATTTCTACAAACAGGCTCTGGCTGGACAGGACTGCATCCCAGGAAGACACCTTCACCTCGGTGACTTCATACTGAAAGTGGACAACGTGAGGTTTTCCATCGTTCACAGGGAGGTCCTGGGTCACCGTGAGCTTCTCGTCCTGGGCAGGAAAGCAGGGTAGAAGCCCAGATCACTACTGTTTCTGGCTACATCATCTACCCCCTAAGCCAGGTGGCCCTAGGAGTCCCTTCGGCCAATCTCACAGTAACATGGGACAAAGAGCACGCTGGAAATGTCACCCTGTATGCTGACTAACTGGTCACTGCTAAGACCAAATGATACTGGTAAAATGAAAAGGAAATATTTAACAAGTATTCCCTAGGTGCCAAGTAGTATGCAAGGTACTGTTCTATATACTACTACAATCGTTGTGACAAGCACTTGAGACAGACACTCATATCTCAATTTCAAATCTGAGATAACAAGGCCAAGAGCAATTAAGCAATCCACCCAGGCTCCTATGGTAATAAATGGCAAGGCTGAGGTTCAAACCCAGGTCTCCCTGACCTGAATACCTTTGCTCTTCCCCAACACCATATTCTTTCCCTCCCTTCTCCAAAAGGGAAACATCAAAAACAAATGAGGCTAGGGCTGGGGATTTAGCTCAGTGGTTCCACCTCCTGCCTTGCAACTGCAAGAACCCAAGTTTGATCCCAGGTACCAAAAAAAAAAAAGAAAGAAAGAAAGAAAACAAATGCTGGCTGGGGATTTAGGCCAGTGGCACCAAGCCTGCCTTGCAGGTACAAGGTCCTGAGTTTGATCCCTGGTACATAACAACAACAAAAAAACAAATGTGGCTATTTGTGAGGGTTTGGCTCTAGCCCCAACCAATCAAACAAAGCCTGCCTTCAGGTGTC